ATATGTTTATTGTGGCACTATTCACAGTAGCAAAGACTTGGAACCAACCCAAATGTCCATCAATGATAGACTGGATTAAGAAAATGTGGCACATATACACTATGGAATACTATGCTCATGGATAGGATGAGTTCATGTCCTTTGTAGGGACATAAAAAAGGATGAGTTCATGTCCTTTGTAGGGACATGAATGAAGATGGAAACTGTCATTCTCAGCAAACTATCGCAAGGACAGAAAACCAAACACTGCATGTTCTCACTCATAGGTGGCAACTGAACAATGAGAATACTTGGACGCAGGGTGGGGAACATCACACACCAGGGCCTGTCATGGGGTGGGGAGAGCAGGGAAGGATAGCATTAGGAGATATGCCTAATGTAAATGATGAATTAATGAGTGCAGTGCACCAACATGGCACATGTATACATATGTAACAAACCTGCATGTTGTACACATGTACCCTAGAACTTAAAGTATAATAAAAAAAATTGCCATCCATTGTAAAAGGACTCATGTTTGCAGTCCATGCTATCATTCCACTGAGAAGGCTGTCAATGGCCTCTCTGGGAAACTGTGGTGCAACAGCCCTGAGGCTTTCCAGAACATGATCCGTGCATCTGTTGGTGCTGCGAAGGCTGATGGCAAGGTCATCTCCGAGCTGAATGAGAAGCTCACTGGCAGGGCCTTCCATGTCCCCACCATGGTGTCAGTGGTGACCTGACCTGCCATCTGGGAAAAGCCTGCCAAATATGATGATATCAAGAAGGTGGTGAAGCAGGCATCAGAAGGCCCCTTCATAGGCTGCAGGGTTATATGAGGGTTCCGGGGGCACTTCTTCTATGATTTTGAAAAATATGGTCCAACATACTACTTTTCTTTAGTGAGCCCCTTTTTTGTGGATCACATTTATTAAAACAGTTAATAATTTCAGAACATTTCTTGCTTTCATTGTTTTGCCTTCAAGTATTATAATGCTTGAGGGTAAGGCAATACACACACACACATGCACACACACACACACACACACACACACACACACACACACACACACGAGCCTCCTGGGCTACACTAAGCACCAGGCTGTCTCCTGTGACGTTAACAGTGACACCCACTCTTCTACTTTCAATCCTGGGGCTGGCATTGCTCTCAACTACCACTTTGTCAAGCCCATTTCCTGGTATGACAGTGAATTAGGCTGCAGTAACAGGGTGATGGACCTTAAGGCCCACATGGCCTCCAAGTAGTAAGAGCCCTGGACCACCAGCCCCAGTGAGAGGACAAGAGCAAAAGCGAGACCCTCAGCTGCTGGGGAGTCGCGGTGGCAGTCAGTCCCCCACCTCAGTGACAATCTCTCCTCACAATTTGCATGCAGACCCCCTGAAGAGGAGGTGCTTAGGGAGCCCCACTTTGCCATGTGCCATCAATAAAGTCCCCTGTACTAAAAAAAAAAAAAGATTGCCATCAAGTCTAAGTTGATATGTTACTGAGTAAGTACCTAAGAAAGATTATTTTGAGCACATTTCCTAAACAAATAGCAGCTAATTAATGTATGTTTTAAGTTAAATACATACTGAGCAATGCTTCTGATAAAAAAATTACACAAAAACGCAAATAAAATGTTCAGGATGTATCTTTTAGAGCCTACTTTCCCAACCTCAGCACTACTTGCATTTTGGACTGGATATTTCTTTGTTGGAGGGGGCTGTCCTATGCTTTGTAGAATGCTAAAAGGATCTCTGGGCTTTATGCACTACATACAAGTAATACCCCCATCTCCCCGCTTCCCTAGCTTGTGTCAATCAAAAATGTCTCCAGTCATTGCAAAATATCCTGTGGGAAGCAAGAACAGCTCCCAGTTGAGGACCACTGCTTTTAAGTGTTTTCAGTGTAACTAAATATTAACAACAAAGAACTCTACTTCCGAGCAATTATCTTTCAATGTTGTCATTCTGTACTGCAGGTTATCACTGCATGAGAGTGGAAGTGTCGGAAAATTACCGTGTATTTTAAAATGAACTTCCGTGGCCTGTCGCAACACTGTAGGCTGCAGGGTTATACGGGAGTTCTGTGGACACTTCTTTTATTATTTTGAAAAATATGGTCCAACATATTCTTTCACCAGAGAATTTGTTTTCCAGGATCAATGAGAATTTCATATACACTTGCTGATTTCTCTTTTTAAACATATTACTTTTCTTTAGTGAGCACCTTTTTTTGTGGATCACATTTATTAAAACAGTTGCTAATTTCAGAACATTTCTTGCTTTCATTGTTTTGCCTTCAAATATTATAATGCTTGAGGGTAAGTCAATACACACACACGCACACACACACCACACTTACATAAAATTTGTCATTCATCATGGAAGGACTCATGTCCACGGTCCATGCCATCACTCCGTAAAGAAGACTGTGAATGGCCCCCCTGCACAACTGTAGTACGACAACCATGGGGCTCTCCAGAACATCGTCCCTGCTTCACCACCCTCTTGATGTCATCATATTTGGCAAGTTTTTCCAGAAAGCAGGTCAGGTCCATGACTGACACATTTGTGGTGGGGACATGGAAGGCCATGCCAGAGAGCTTCCCGTTCAGCTTGGAGATGACCTTCCTGCAACCTTGGCAGCACCAGTAGATGCAGGGGTGATAAATT